TAATTCCATCACTTACGGTCGATCAATTGATGAAAAAAAAGTGGAATTTCTCCAATCAGTTCTGATCTATTGCCAGAAAACACCAATCATACGAATATTATTATGGTGACTGCTCAACCCATTCAACCCACAGACAATTCAGTAACGAATGGCTTGATGATTTTTGCGAGATACATTACAGCAACGATAATGTTAGACCTTGCTCGAAGAAATCAACAATGTAATACATTCTTTGATTTGAGAGATTCCACCGATTTGGAAGTATTAAGGAAATATATGGGCTTTGATTCGGTGAATGAATTGAAGAATTATTTATCCACTCAACATGCTTCCACCATTTCAACATCAGATTCATGGACCATTGAAACACCATTTACCATGTTTCCTGGTGCGATTTATGATGACTCTAAAAGAGACAATGTTACACTTCTACTGAAAGTGGATCGACACGATTTTCTTCATTTAAACTTGTGAATGATTGGAGTGGACAACAAGCAGTGGTCATTCGAACAGATATTTCACGAGAAGTGTATTCATTGGGATGGCTTTCATTCCTCTATACTGCCATTGCTATTTTGGCGTTGGTCATTCTTATGGCTATTGCAGTGATGATTTTTGTGGAATTTGTGGTGTTGCGAAGAGTGTTAAAAATTGGACGTTTTGTGAGAAGCGTTACGAATGAGAATGATCTTTCTCGAAGACTTGTGAATATGAGCTCAGATGAATTGGGAGATCTCTCTGCGGATATTAATGGAATGTTGGTGGCGTTGGAAGTGTCACAATCAAAACTTGCCAATGACAATTTGATGATGCAAAATATATTGGAAAGAACTGCCATTGAAGAGGAAAAGAGTCGATGCATTTTGAATAGCATTACAGATTTTGTGGTGACTGTAGAATGCTCATCGGTACGTAATCATCTTTTTAATGATTCTATCATGTTCTTTTACATTCAATTCTTCTAAAAATTTTTATGGATTCAAATTTACATGAAATGGTTCATCATCCATTTTCATCTACACAGGGATTAATTATTAACATCAATTCATCTTTCGAGAACAAAATTTTAAAGAAAAAAACCTCAATTGCAACATTCCATGAAATCCACACCTTTTGAAAATCACTTAATCAACGAGTACATTACGAACTATTCCACACTTCAAGAATTGTTAGAAAAATTGGACATTTTATCTCGTGGTGGTGAAGTTTTTGAAACGACTCTCTTCTCCGATCTCGGAAGCAAATATCCTGTGAACGTGAGTGTCAACAAAACGAAAATGACTGTTCGAGAGGGTGTGATTGGTGATGCCTTCATTATTGTCATGAAAAACTTGTCAGAACAAACCGAGTTGAAGAACATGTTGACCATGCAACAAGAAAAATTAATGGAAATTCAAAAAGTCGCCAAGTTTGATAAAGTCATGGCAGATAAGGAATTAAGGAACAAGTTCAAAGAATTCACAATTAAGGAAAGAAGTTCTGAAAATTTCCTCTTCCTTGAAATGGTTGAACAATACAAGACCATTTCGAAATCTAAGGAACGAGCAGTTCTTCAAAAGGAAATCATTCGACGACATTTGCTACCAAATTCACCTCAACCACTCAATGTTTCTCAGAAAATTCTCGAAACAGAATATAAGAAAATTGCCAGTGGTTATGGTCAATTGGATTTATTTGACAAGTTGGAAGTTGTTGTGAAAGGAATGATTTTGGATGACACTTTTTCAAGATTTATGATTGAGCGAGAAAATGAGGAGAGCACGGACACTTCAGATTCAACATCCTCAATGACTAACCATACTAATTGTTGACAATGATGATGTCTTCACAAAAATGTCACACTAAGGTCAACCTTGTAATACATACACAAATAGCAATCTCAATGAACATTCAAACACAACAACAACAACCTTGCTTTCCATTTCTTCCAGTCACACTATCCAAGACTTCATTGAAGAAATTTAATTAGATCGGATTTTGGGATTGACTGATAGAAAGTTCAAAAATAATCGCTGGAGCAATCCGATCCAATCTGTCGATCCTGATTAATTAAATTACCTCATTGAGGTTATTTAATCAACCAGGATTGCCAGTATCGATGAATTGGATCGATCAATTGCTTTCGAACTTTCATTCCTTCATTTCGATACCTTCCACCAGTTCAACTCGAAAGATCGCAGGTTTACAACGCGAAGGAAAATTTCAAATTCTCCCACCCGATCGATCGGACCGTTGATTTCTCAATAACGCGAACGAAAAAAGAATTAAAAAAATTCCCTTCCTTTGGCCAAGAAGATCTTTGAGAGCCTCATCATCATCTTCCCCATCATTATCCTCATCTATTTTTTAAAATCATTATCGGAAAATGTTGAACATGAACGAAACTGCTGGTTCTTCCTCCACATGTGGACGTGATGTTTATATTGTAGATTGTGTAAGAACTCCTATTGGATTAGGAAGAAGCTCAGGATCTTTGAATGGAATTCATCCTGTTACTTTGTTGTCAATGGTTTTGGATAATGTTACTTCAAGATGTAATGTGAATAAGGCTGAAGTTGAAGGTATGTTTGTGTTCAGTGGAAAAGAAAAAGAAGAGCGTATATTTTCAATGTTCAACATTTAATATCACTTTTCAAAATGACAATGATGATGATTTAAATACATTGTCACGAAAATGCCATTCAATGATGTTATTGACCAATTGGTATTTGACCTTTTGATGAAACTTTTAGATGTTGTATGCGGAGTAGTCACTCCAGTCAAGGAACAAGGTGCCAATATTCCTCGTTTGGCTCTCTTAAAAGCTGGTTATCCTGTCAATGTTCCAGGTGTTCAACTCAATCGTATGTGCGGTAGCTCACAACAAGCTGTGCATTTTGCTGCTCAAGCAATTGCTTCGGGAGACATGGATATGGTCGTTGCTTGTGGTGTTGAAATGATGTCTGTCGTTCCCATGGGAAGTGATTGCGATCCTGAATTGTTCCAAGTCACAACTAATCCAAAGGAACCAAAGTTTGCTCCATTCCCTCATAAATTGCTTCATCAAGGTGTGAGTGCTGAGTTGATTGCAGAACACTACAAGATTTCAAAGAAGGAAATTGATGAATTTTCTGTTGAATCTCACCGAAAGGCATTCGAAGCTACCAAGAAGGGAGTTTTTAACTCACAAATTTTACCAATTAAGGTAAACAAGGGTGATAAGGAATTCTGGTTGAAGGCTGACGAAGGTATTCGTTATCCAGTCGATGTTGAAAAGATGTCACAATTGAAGCCAGTCTTTAAGCGTGATGGTGTTATTTCTGCTGCTAACGCAAGTCAAATTTCCGATGGTGCTGCCGCAGTTTTGTTGTGCTCTGGAGAGAAGGCCAAACAATTGGGCCTCAAGCCACGAGCTCGTATTGTTAGCCGAGTTGTTGTTGGTTGTGACCCAGTGATGATGTTGGATGGTGTCATTCCAGCCACCAGAAAGGTTTTGGAGAAGTCTGGATTGTCAATTTCTGATATTGACGTTTTTGAAGTGAACGAAGCATTTGCTAGTGTTGTCTTGTCATGGAAGAAGACTTTCAACGTTCCAGATTCCAAGTTGAATCCAAACGGCGGTGCTATTGCTCATGGACATCCATTGGTAAGTCTTTGTTTTTTTTGGAAATGTGTTTTTTTACACTCAACGTCCAATTTCATGAAATATATCCTCGTACCATGTTCATAACATGCATTCTGACACATAATTCACTCAATTAGGGAGCAACTGGTGCTATTTTGATGACTAAGCTCGTCAATGAATTGGAAAGATCTGGTAAACGTTATGGATTGCAAACCATGTGTATTGGTCACGGTGCTGCAACTGCTACCATCATTGAAAATGTGAATTGGAAATCTCAAAAGTTGTAAATTTCATGTACAATAGATGATTTGAACTGTTGACACTAAGATTAAACCTATTCTCGCCTTAATTTATTCCTATACGTATACGTTTATTTCTTTTAATTGTGGAACTTGGAAACTGCTGGTTAGTGTTGTTGCGCATTTTTGTTTCTAGGTCTCTTGAAGATGTGATAGTTGGAACACAAAAGAGAAAAGGTTCAAATTTGTGATCAATTACAAAAGATTTACTTGTTTCATCATGTCTTTCTTGTTTTTCATCACAGACAGAAATTGCGTGTATTGCGGCGTCGCGACCAATCTCGAGAAGGTATCTCCTAAATTCATTAGAATTTCTTCAGTGAGATGGTTCATGCATTGTTCAAATGAGGAGATTTCTTGAGATGGAGACTGTTTCGAATTCTTGATGTCATTCAATTCTCGTGAAGTGGCATTCAGCTCTTGGAAAACCCTCATAAACTCTTTTCTGCATTCGGATGGAATATTCACCTCAATTGGGGCTCCTGCATTAATGTAATTCGTATAAATGTTTCTCATGAAAGAATGAATGGCAGCGAGTGATTGTTGAGCTTTAAAATGCATTAGTTCCTTGTACAACAACATGTTCTCCAGTGAGAATTCTTTTTTGCAAAATTCCTCAAGAAGTTCTCTTCCTTCCTTGCTGTCCAAGAGGGCTTGAAATTCCGTTTGATTTTGTTGTGGCTCTTGACCTATCTTCATTTGTTTGGAAAGAGCTTTCAATTTGTTAACAAGGAAAACAAGCAATGCAAAGCCACCAAAGACCATGATATACATTGCGACATATAAAATTTCAAATACGAATGATATCACATCTAAGACCATGACTTGTTGTGAGGAACTTTCCTTGTTCATTAAGGTATAAAGACCTGTCAGTTGGTTGCAAATTAAAAAGACGTAACACAACACAAATAAAATCATTTCCACTCGGAAATAGAGAGGAGCATCCAATGTTGCAAACCAATCTCGAAGAGGTTTCACTTGAAGCCATTGTGTCACCTTTTTCACTACCTCACCATTCTTATCTTTAGGCTTTTCATCCGTGTGTTGGGTCGCAATGGACATCACTTGTGTACCTTCTTGATCTGTTTGTTGCTTTCGTGACGAGAAAATAAATGAATATAGGAAATCACTCACGCAGACGCCCGTAATAAATAGTCCACAACATAATATAAATGCTGTGTATGAAATTGACACAATAAAGGTGTATGTTATGGGTAACATTGTTTCTGTTCTTACCAAAATCACAAATAAAGTCCAAAAAGCCAAATTCAAACCCAAACAAATCACTAACAAGAGTGAAGAAAACTTTTTGGATATCATGAACTTGATCATCTTTGGTGTCATTGAAATACTTATTAGTTTTGGTACCTCCTTTGTCTTTCGCAAGCTTTCATGATTGCTCCTACTCATTTTGTAATAGAAGTATTTCAATAATTGGAATCGAGTCTCACTTGAAGCAAATAAAACACAATGGCAGTAATGCTAAAAGTATTTGAAATAATCATGACTACATTACCAAGAATATTGGCGCTTTGTAATGGGCCCTCCCACTTTGCAACACTTGATTGAGTTGAAATGTTCTCTTGCACGGTTGACAATAGAACTCCTTTCTGAGTCATAGAAATTAAAATACTTTGAATCATCAAGCTGATCATTCCAACATAGGGAGTGAATAATCGACTCTTGACAGGTTGTTCCGATCGAAAGATGAATAGTGCAATCAGTATTACTAATGAAACAAGGAAATACACAGCTCCCACTGTTATTTGTCCAATAAATAATGTCGCCAAGAATTCTTGTCGAATAGGTTCTTCCATAATCGAGGAATTGTCATGATGCAAGAACACAGAGAACATGGTCGTGTGATTGCACGAGCAAAATACTTGACGAGGTTCATTCACCACCTTCAGCAGCACGCATCCATTCGTTTTCCATGATTCGGTCGTTTCATTCCAATATCGACATGACAGTTGTGAAATATTGAGATCCAATGCTTGATTTTGAATGGTAAAGGATAACACTACTGGCTCTGACAAATCCCGTAAATCAAGATCTTTCATATTCCTTGAGAAGGAGAAATCTTTCACTGGTGAAATGAGTTGATTTTGGTCGTGTTGGAGAGTTTTCACTCCCTCTTCAAAGGAGACCAACTTGATGCCAATTTCCTGGGAGAAACCATGATATTTTGAGAGAATATTTGGAATATTGAACTCTACATCTTGCAGGAATGTATTCTTTGAATAATTTTGAAGAGAAACATCCGGTATGAAGCTCATCACTGAAATGTTCACAAGTTCAGAGAATAAAAACTTTGGTATGTTTGAAGAATCAGAACGGAGCAATGTTGGGTTCTCTCCAATTTGTGCAATGGTTGAAATTTGTTGACAAAGTTCTACAATTTCATCCTTGAAAAATCCATTCTTCATTAAATTGGACACGAGTTCGAGAGTAGATTGTAAATCCTTATCTGCCTTGTTTTGAACAAAACCCAAATTCATCTTTTCATTCGTATAGACTTGTTTCATTTCACTTAGGAATTGATCAAGCTTATCAGTGATTGCAGAAGCAATGCGATGCTCTATTAAGGTTTGTTCTGAAAGAAGTGTTAGTGATTGTAAGGATTCTGAATTATCCTTATTAAGAGCGGAGAGGTTTAACTGTTGAAGAGCGTAAAGGGTGATTTCAAGAGAAGCATTGCTGGATGTTTGAGAGGAGAGAATTGAACGATCATATGTGGCAGCCAATGCCAAAATCTTATTATTTTTCACTTTCTCAGCCAAATTGTTGACGTTGGTGTTTGGGTAAATCTCCACTTGACCAATAATTTGAGGGTATTCATTGGAGAAAGCATCTCGCATAAATACTACAATATCTAATAGTTCTTTAAGGTTTGATCCTTGATAGAAAGTAAATGGTAGAGCGAATGTGACATTTTCATACTGAAGTGAAAAAGGTGTCAATCTGGCATTCTTTGAAGTCTGTGAATCCTTCCAAACAAATCCGAAAGCAAATTCTAAGGGACTTAGTGGGGAAGGAATGTTTTTCAATTCATCCAAATCCGTCAGAGAAACAGAAAAAAAGAGTGTCAAGGGCAGTTCCGTTCATGGGAGTGATCGTCACATTGTTTCTTAACGATGGAACGTTAAAACTTAGCAATGGTATGTCATAACTGAACTGTAGAGTATCTGCCGTATCCATATCGTTGGTGAGCACAACCTTCAGAGAGAGTGGTGACATGGATGCTCCTTTAGACACCAAGGTACATTGCAATACAATGACCGGAGAAAGCATCGAAGTTGTGTAAGATCCTTCTTCAAGAAGAGTTCCAGAAGCAAATGTCTTTCCAGAGGTCGAACATTGAGTTTCATTATTCGAAAAGTCTAAAAGTTCTAATGAGAATGAAACCAACTGTGAGGCATTATTCATTACCTTGTTCGTTCCAAGGAAATGGTTGGGAATTTCTTCACATCTTTGAGGAAATTTCACACCTGAAAGTATGACCTGAAAAGATTGTTCGACATTTGCGACCAATGCATGAGGTAAACCATACAGGACTAGTGTTGGATCTCCTAAAAAGGTGACATAAAATTCGACAATTCTTGTCTTCCAATATCTATAAGATGAATAGTTGTTGAAGAGAGTTGCATTCATGACAAATCTATACCTCCCAGCAGTTGAAATGTTAAACAAGGAGAGATTGAATATCTTTGTATCTTTGTTCGAGAGAGTACTGACTAGAGTTGTAATTTCGTGTGTGCCAGTACAATTCATACACTGAATCATGAGAACAATAGTTTCATTCAGGACTTCTGTCGTGTTGTCAATGATGACATGACCATTCCATACAATTGTTTTGTTTCTACTCGAAATAAAGTATTCTGTTTTTTCAGCAAATAAGGATATCGAGTTCGAATTCACAGAGCAGTCGACTCCTTCAAAGCCAGTGATACAACTGCAAATATTATAATCAATACAACGTCCCTTTCCATTACAAACAGAAGAAGAGTTCAGATGAATACCAAAACATTGGAATTCTTGACATTTTTCTCCCCAATAATTTGGTAGACAACTACAACTGTTTGGCGATGGACAGGCTCCGTAAGCCACTACATGCAGATTCATTCGAAAAGAGTGTTCCAAAACAATCAAAGAATTGACATCGATCTCCATAAAAACCATTCACACAAATGCAATGATTGGGGTCTGTACAAGTTCCTTTTCCACTACATGTAGATTCATTCGAAAAGAGTGTTCCATAGCAATCAAAGAATTGACATCGATCTCCATAATAGCCATTCAAACAAGTGCAATGATTTGGACCTGAACAGGTTCCCTGGCCACTACATGCAGATTCATTCGAAAAGAGTGTTCCATAGCAATCAAAGAATTGACATCGATCTCCATAATAGCCATTCAAACAAGTGCAACGATTGGGACCTGTACAGGTTCCTTTTTCACTACATACCGAGCTACTGTCCTTATGAATGTTAAAGCAATTGAACTGATCACATTGTGAACCAAAATAGTCAGAAGAGTCACAGGAACAATTGTTAAATGCAAAACACTTGCCATGGCCAGAACATGGTTTTGGGTTGGTGGAATTGGACATGATTGAAAAACACGATGTTATTTCACACTGTTCTCCAAAATACTGATTGGATGGAGTGCAATTGCATTGATTTGTTTTTACACAGGTGCCATGTCCAGAACATACAGTCTCATTGATGTTGGAAACATTAAAACATTGAAAGTTTTGGCATTGGGAGCCAAAGAATCCCTCAAAACAGTCACACTGATTTAGAGCTGTGCAATTGCCATTCGATGAACAGGCCAATGGGGAGTCAGAAGGAATTCCATTGCATCTAAAATATTGACACTTCTCTCCATAGTATCCAGTGAAACACGAGCAAGAGTTTGGTTCTGAGCAACTACCATGTCCTTCGCAAGCACTTGAGTTTCCTCCATTAATTCCATAGCAGATGGGTTCTGAACATTGAGGACCACCATATTTCACATTCACACTTATGGGGAGTTCATCATCCAAACTTGTTTGACATATGTTCATCAACGAATCATAGATGGTAAAATGTGTATCTCCTAGAATCAACCGATAGGGAGGTGTTCCTCCTATACATGGATCAAAAATGGCGAGATTAAACCCTGGTCCTTTCAGTTCAAGCGATCCATCTGTATTGAGAATAAGTTCGTCAAAAACTTGACCATTTGCGTCATTCGAACTTATCAAATAATCTTCTTCAAATTCATCTTTGATTAAAAGGCCATCTTTTCGTATGACGATCATGAGCGTCTCATCTGTAGAAACAAGCATTGAACGAGGAATACCTGTCGAAGAAAGAGAGTTCGAATATCCTGCAGTGTTTGGGTGTGAATAAAGTGTATTGTTGGGTGAAAAATCAAAGCAAGTGCAACTGTCATTGCTTCCACACAGACCCTTTCCTCCACACACTGAAATATCAGATGAAGAGACTCCAAAGCAAGTCCTGTCACCCAGGACGGCTGAGTAAGGAATCCCACAAACCACCAATATCACCATTACAACAAGGCATGTGAGAGAAAGAACAAGGAGACCATTAGCTGCTTTTCGAGAAGGTTGCAACATTTTTTTCAGATGTGTCTTCACAACGATGTCTCACTGTTTGTCTTTGACCAAATAAAAAAACCAAAGCTTCTCATGAGTGGATGTTTCTTTTACCTTTATGGCATCCGGTGTTACATGCAGTAAGGACACCAGAAATTCATCAACCTGAAAATGTACATTTAAGGATGACAAAAAAAATTTTTTCATGTTGAGCAACTCTCTGTAAATGGTCATCAATGCCAGCGAACAATTAATAATCGGCGGACGTTGAAAACCCTCTGATTGAATTCAAGACTGTTCACGACCATACTATGGATTGATAATAATGTTGATCTCATTAGCAATCAACCATCCATGAATTGAGAAAATAAAGTTAATTATTAACTTAAAGTTATCAACAGCTAGATCCGATATTGTTCGTGAGATGACCAAACGTAGTATGTTTCATAATTAATTCATTTTGTTCGTTCTTCTTAATTAGGAATGGAATGATTAAAACTGCAACCGACCGATCTTGAATTTCATTATTCATTTCCCAATCTAACAATGTCCTCTCGGACGCACTCACCTTCCAATTGGTTGCCTCAAACCCTCGGACCTCGAGCTCGAGGAGAAACTCTTCTCGTGCATGAGTTTTTTTCTCTTTTCGACCGTCCTATTAATAATAACATTTAAATTTTTATATATATATTCAAGAAAATGCAACAAACAGTCTTCTCCTGTTCTCCAAACACTCCTCCTCCACATGCTTTGCACCTTCTCTTTGATTCTCTCTTGGGGTTCTCTGGAACTTTGTTTGGAGTCGTTTTTTCATTCCTCTTTCCAGAACGAATTGTCTTTCAATTCATGTCTTTGTTTTTACCTTCCATGGCAGCCGCGTATACGTTGGTTTTGCATTGAACTCTCATGGACACTCGAGAGTATGGCCACAAATTCTTGGAATGATTCTGTATTTTGAAATTGCCTTGTGGGCATTGGAAGTAAGGTCCTGGTGGATTCTCTCGTTGGGAATCATGTCGCATGGTTTGTGGGATTGGATGCATCACCAGCACAAGGGAGTTCCTGAGTTTTATATTCCTTTCTGTGCCGTGTTTGATTTCGCCTTTGGTTTGTGGATGCTCTTTCGAAAGGTGTTTGAAATACTTTGAGAGTCGTTGTTTTGTTTTCTTTCAAAAGTTGTTGTGTGAATAAAGAGGCCATCGAGCATCATCCCTATTGGTATTGCGATTGTATATTATTCAAGTGAATCAAAGTCTTTACCAATGGATGTACTTAATAATTCATTAAGGAATGGATCCACCTTCTCCAGCAATTGCTTGCCAGACAATTTCTTCACACAACAATCAAGAACTTGTTTTTATTGTATACAATTCTACTTTTATAAGGTTTTTCATCCAGAATGAGAATAAATCGACTCCTTATATTCTTTCGAGTCCAAAGAATTCCTTGTTCTTTTCATTTCTTGATCAAGAACACGATTATTAGAATGGTCTTGGATTGCAAGAACATCCCAATTGACATCCATTTCGATCTCTGCGATAACCATATCTGCACGGACGTGAGCAGTAAAATCTTCTACAAGGTGTTCTTCTGCATCGACAACCAGATTGGCATCCATATTGATTGGTCAAGTAGCCATAGCGACATCTGTTACGACACGTGTAGCGACGACATCTTCGTCGTTGAGCATTTACATCGTGTGTGGAGTAGCAGCACAACAATACCACAAGAAGAGTTAAAGCGAGAAGGAGAAAGAAAAAGGCGGAAGGTTGAGCTCTTTCTGGAAAACATGATTTTTGTTTTTTATCTGTAATACATGGTGAAGGTAGTGTGAAAATGTATTACATTACAATTGGGTTGGATATGGAAAATGGCCAAATGTACGTTTTGCGTTTTGTGCAACCATGGATATAAATGGAAATAAAATTGAACCTCCGAAATGGTTATTATCCTTTTTAAGGATATCTTGTGAAGAAGCAGGAATACGAAGATCCTGTCAGATCAGTGTTGTTTTTTTGCCTAAAACATCTTTGAATATTCCATTGTATACAATTAATAATTTTTCAATCGAGATACCTCCTTTCCTCAAGTGTCAGTAACCTCTCTGTTTTCTCTATTAACGTTTTGTTCATTTTGATGTCATGAGGTTTTCTCTCATCTTCAGCACTTTTCTTCAAGAATAAACGTCCATGAAGAATTTTTTTTCAAGTGGTCATGATTAATTTGGAAATTCATTTCTTTCGAATGTGACACTCTTGAACTATTAATACACTTGAAAAAATTCACTTTCTAGCTCTCTCGCCACACTTTCACACTTTTCGAAAACATGTTGCAACAACTACCACCCACACGTCCTCACCTCATCATCCTCCTCATCCTCATCCTCTCTTACTCACTAGTCCTCGTCCATGCAGATGTTCCGAACATTCCGAACCACTCGCAATCGTCCTCTTCATCCTCTTCCTACAGAACTAACAAGTCGGAATCAACATCATCATCATCCTTTATTCATCAACAATCTCTTGATGCCTTCATTCGGGAAATTAATCAAAAAGCCAAGACATGGGTGGCTGGTTACAATAAGAAATTTGGAAATGGAAGATCGAGAGAGGAAATTGTGAACTTGTTGTTGGGATGGAATAGAAAATCACAACCATTATTATCAAAAGAACCATTAAATAATAGGAATCATCATGATTTGGAATTGACATTGCCTAAATTGTCCATTCATACACCAACGAGATCAAATTCAATGAAAATCTCTCTTCCTGCGAACTATAGCTCAGTAACAAATACCTTGTATTCCAATTGCACTCAATTGCATCATATTCGAGATCAAGGAGAATGCGGAGCTTGTTGGGCTTTCGGAGTTTCGGAAATGGTCGCCGATCGATTCTGTATTGCCTCTCAAACTAGAGTGAATGTTGTGTTGAGTCCTCAATTCTTATTGAGTTGTGATGAAGGAGATTGTTATGGAGGAGATATTGGAAACACACTTAAATACGTTCAAAATTATGGAATTGTCACTAATCATTGCATTCCATTTTTAGCTAAAATCGGAAGTAATTTACCATGTCCCAATCGATGTTTGGACGGAAGTAATTACAAATTAAGATACAAAGTGAAAAATTCACAACAGTTTGATTTGACTGATATTCAAGGAATGCAACAAAGTATTTTACAAAATGGTCCCATTGTTGCTGCATTTAATGTTTTTGAAGATTTTTTACATTTCAAAGGAGGAATTTATCAATACACGACTGGAGGTTATGTGGGAGGTCATGTCGTGAAAGGTAAGTGGAGAATCAAGAGTCCTTCATTGATCGATACGAATGCACCATGTTCGTGAATCATATGTGTGATTCAAATTGTTTGCAACATGATGTGAACCTTCATGAAAACATGTGAAATTTGAAAAAATTAATGAACTGACTTTCTTGCACGGATTCTCTGAATACTAGTTGTTGGATGGGGAGAAAGTATGCATGGAATTCCTTATTGGATTGTTGCTAATAGTTGGAGTATTGATTGGGGAATGAATGGATATTTTTGGATCATTCGGTAGGTCAAAGATTTTGTCATTTTCTTATGACCTTTCGAATCATTCGAATTATTTGATGAATAATATTCTAATTTGACATGAATGAACGAACGAATTGTTTTATTTCTTTTTGCTTTATCTAATACTTGACAGAGGAAAGAATGAATGTAATTTTGAAAGTTACATGTGGCAAACCACTCCTGTTTTATAATTGAACACATTGGTCAGTACTGAATGAATAAAAAGCAAGAAAATCATTTGTTCACATGTATACCATTGCGTGGTTGAAAACTCTAGAATGTGTCCCAACTAAACAAAATTTCATGCAAAACAAGATTTCCTTTATCGATAAACTCTTGCAAAATTTACAACAACAAAAAAAATGTTCAATTCAGCTTGCAAAAGTGGCGCTTCTTCTCTTTTCAAATCAGGCTTGTTCAAGAAAACCTCCTCTCGGGCAGCTAGTAGTATTTTCAAGAAGAATTCTTCTTTCGGAAGGATTTCATCATCATCCTCGGCATGTTTTTTCTCGACTAGTAATAGTGTTGTGAGTGGGTGTTTGAATTTTCCATCATCTTTGGCATCATCATGGAACGGAATGAATTTCAATAATTTGTGTGTGAGAGGGTTGAATCATCATAATGGGTAAGTGTTGGAATATGATGATCATAGGTTTGGAATCATCCGAGATAATAAAAATACGAATATATGTGATTACCTGGATTCTGGATGAAATACTTGTTCATTATGAATAACGTGATTGTGTAAATGGCAATAATGGAACGACAAACAAAATGAAATTGCACATGCTTCTTGATTTCACATTCCGAAAACATGGCGTCCCACATTTATTTGTTCAACAACAAATACATTTCTTTGCAACAACAACTCCCGCTACAACAGAATTGCAACAGGTCAACAAGTCCTTTTGATAGGAGCACCAGATGATGACGCGTAAGTATAAGAGTCAAAAGAAATAATAATGCATCATTGTAATTATTCCAGATAAAATCTAAGTGAATCAATTTTCAAATGTTTTCAAAACCTTTCAAATGCCATTTCCACTGATACTTCTCAATTTCTGCTCTCTTTCGCCAAACAAAGGATAATAAAGATATTTCTGTCATTATTTTTCATTGAAACACACGACGAGTGAGCTCCTGTTAAGGTTTTTTCAAAGTTACCTCAAAGAACATTGTCTGCAGTGTTCCAAAATGCCACTCACGAAAACATCTCTCACATGGACACCCAAATAACTGGAAACTTCAAAGAATAGAGCTGAGTGTTGTTGGGCGAGCTGTAAACCTGCATCTGTGGTTGTTTGCCACATACTCCTTGGTGAGTCACATTGTAGAGCTGCAATGATAATGATAGGATCTGTATTGTCCTTGAGTATTTTGAAATTTTGAATGTAATCTCTGTGTGAAAATCACATGAAACAATCACATGCAAGGAGATGAGTCAGAAGAATCCAATCAATTAATGTTAAGAATAATGGAATTTGATAAATGTTACGCAAACAAACAATACCAAAAGAAACATACTCAACCATTGAAAAACTATTCTTGTCTTTCACACTGTAGCACACCACGAAAATATCACAACTTCTAACGAGTTCAATATTATTCACTTCAGAGGAAGGAGTTTGTCCACTCGAATCCATTAGATCAATCACAAAATTTCCTTCCAATTTTCGATAACTCTCACTAATGCTCGTGTCATAGGTGACATCAAATTTTCCGAACATGTATCGACACACCAAGGATGTTTTACCAGGTTTTCTTCCTCCACAAATCCACACACGAATTTGCATGGATTTTCCACTTGAAATTTGAGCAAGTGCAAATTCCATTTCTGAAGTGTCATAATACGATCGTTTTGTAAATTGAAAGGGAGAGTTGGTGAGTGAGACTTCACTTGGTGTTTTTTTCAACATGACCATTGCAAGGGATCTTCTTCTGGTGGTTTTTGTTTGAGAACTTTCTTCTTTAAACTTCGAGTATTGTGTGTAGAGATTACACAATTCAGTGAGCGTGTCAATTTTCAATTCTTGTGCAATTTTGAAGAATGAGTAAGTATTTTCTTCGGTGACTTTTCTTGCCAGTAGTGACACTGTTTGTTTGAATAGAGTGAGTTCTTGAGTTCTCTTTGAAAAAGTTAAACTATTTGAGTAGATGAATGTGGTGACAATTCCAAGAGAATTGCATGATGATTCAAATTCATTTCAAATATGATCAAATAAATATTCAATATTAGTGTTCAACACAAATGCATCACCATCACACTTACATGTCATTCAAGTGCTTATCATCCAACAATTCCATGGTCATCCAATACGAAGCAATATTTGACATGGCCTTCGTGTTCTTAATTTCATGGATGGAAATCTTTTGATCCTTTTCAATCTTTTTTC